CATGGTTCTACGAGATCCTAAACCACTACCACAGTTTGTAGGGCCTGCAGAGAGCAGGTCCTGTGAGCATGAGCAATCACATGAAGATCCAGGAGACGGTGAGGCTGAAGGATATCATGTCACGCATGGACCTGCTTCCGGGCAACATGAGCCAGGCCGTGTGGGAATGCATCAACCACAATGACCTGTGCAAAGATCACAGGGACCTGCATTGGCTGATAGCCCACTGAGCCCTGCCAGTGAGGGCCCGGAGACATAGACAGGGACAGCCAGAGAGACCCAGCTGCCCATCGCCCAACTGCCACAGAGCCACTAAGATGATCGGCCACCTCCTCTGGCTCTGCACCTGTGCCAAGGAGGTATAGAACAGGGTGAAGCAGCTCTGCGAAGCGGTAACCGATGCCAGCCAGCTAACCAGAGAAGTGGCGCTGTACAGGCACCTTGCCAAACTCCTGGACAGCCTGTCAGCCCGTTTTGACCAGTTTGCATCCTGCGTCAGCAGTGCCCTGTGGAAAGCCAGGAACCTCCTGATGTACAGGCAAACAGATGTAGATGTGGTAGACTGTGTGAAAATGGCTCTAAGCCAACTCCAGACCTACTACCAGAAATTGGCAGTAGAGGATGCGGCCAAAGCCACCTGGCACAGAGACACTTGGCACAGGATCTTCCCACTCCCCCCTAGCGGGGAAGTGAGCTGTGACAGCGAGGAAGAGATAAACAGAACTGAGGACAGCAACAGCAGCAGCAAGTTCTCCAGCAGAAGCTGGAGTGACGGCGACAAGGACAACAAGTGAACTGAGTCTGTGACCCCGAAAGTGGGGTGGGGATGAAGGAAATGGGTTGTCTGGTCTAACAGACCAGTGTTTGTGTGTGTATGGTGCGCAGATGCAGATATTGTAATGGTTTTGGGTGGAGAGTGGGCCTTGGTGCATGGGAGAGTGGGTGTGGATCTTGTAACGGGTTATGGTTTTCTTTGTGGTGTGATACTGGGTGTAGATATATATATAACCATATAGACAGATAGATTTTTCTTTTTTCCAAAAAGAATCTGAACTCCCAGGCCTCTGGAAGGATGCCAGGAATCCTGAACCCCCAGGCCAGTGGACATAAGATGCTAGAGGTCTGGGACTTAGGATGCTGACCCAGCTGAGGTTACATGGCCCAGAGATACTTGTAGACAGTTACTGAGCTTTCCACAATTGGATTTGGAATTGAATTAGCCACTGGAAACATACATATAAAAAACCGTTCTCCATAACGCTGGAGAGAGAAACTAAAAATCAAGGCGAAAGGCAGGGCACTAGCAATGGTGAAGAGTGAGAATGGGAAAGGGAAGCGTTACCTTCTGCCTTCAAAGCGCAGAGTCTCTAAGCTGGTGGCACATGGGGGGAAGAGAGAGCAGCAGAGCACAGGGCCAGGAGATGTGGGCATGGCCACGGTGACCTGAGGTGGGGGTAGGCAAAGGCCAGGCGCGCAGAGAGGGGCCAGCAGGGCTGTCACAAACTGCTTCCTTTCCCCCAGCCCCTGTGTCCCCGCCGTCACCGGGGGGTGGCCATTTCTGACACGTCCCCACGGCTCCGGCTCTGCCCGTCCC